GCCATAAGTATTTGGTCCCTTTCAAGCATCTTTCTGGAACTCCATCTTTAAGGAGCATCTGCCTGTCATTCTAACATTTGCTGACCTCTAGTTTTAAGCCCTCAGCCTATCTCATTAACCCACTACACTTTCCTGTACACCTCAGCAACTCCAAGAACCAATGCTTGCATGAACCATGTCGTACTGAGCATTAGCTGACTCGCCAAACCTGATTCTAATCACCACCAGCACCTTGCCTTAAGATTCCTGCTACCTTGAAAACCATCTGGAACACACAGTCCACTGTCCTTTCTCCCGGAAGAACAGTCTACTTGTTGCAAACAGGGCTTATGTGTTTTTCTTTGGTTTCAACTTTTTTTTTTTTAATTAAATTGAACTAAAAAAACCATCTCTTATTATTTTACTGGGCTTCTCTGTAGATAGAAATATCATTCAGAATTCAAAACACAAAATGAGGGGAAAAAATGTTTTTTAAATGATTCATTATGCAGGTATCAACAATTTTCAGTGTTTTGGGTATGCTTGGGACCCGCAAAAAATCCAGTACTTGTGAATACTCAAAGAAATTACTTTTGAGCCTTGGGTTTTTTTAAATTTCTTATAATGAAAAAGAATTCACAAGCTCTGGGATTAAGATATACCCCATTACTATTTCAAAACCATGTGCATGTATGCTAAGGGCTACACCTCCTTCACTTCAAATGAACCACCCAAGTGGACAGAAGAATGGTTTATAACTGACCAAGAAATGAATATAGTCCATGATGTTAATGAGAGATGAAGAGAAAATGCTCTCAATGCTGATGACAATTCAAACAACACATATAACAATAAAGACGATTTTAGAAAGGAAACCCAATTTCAATCTTTGATTCAATAACTAATTTTGAAGAAAGGCAGGCATGTCCTAGAGCTTATAAGTGATGTATCACTAAACATATACGGAAATGATTTTCTCCACTGTATTTTCCTGAGTATCACCTAGGATGAGTAAGTAGCCTTTCAATTTTACATCCCGTAAACCATAACTATTGTGCATAACTGATAAACTGAAAAATTATAATATACTCTCTTAACTAAGGAAGTACCTTCTCGAGCCATATGGATAACCAAAGATACTCTAAAATCCGTATCAAATGCCAATAGACTACTGATCACTCTGGATAGTGTACTGTCTTAACTTTACAGAGATGGTCTCTGCTCCCTGTTTAAACATTATAAGCCATTGAAAGGTATAGAAAGCTCAGAACCTCCTTCTGTAACTTCTCTATAGTTTCTAAACTTAGGGTACAATTCAAACTCTCAATTCTGTAAATATAAATTCCTATCCCCTCCACCTGGCCAAATCTTTCTTGGCTTAGGACCAGAGACTTAGCCTGAACAAACTATATGAAGGAGTTTCACACAGCTGGTGGAAATGGAATTAAAAGTTAATGGCATTTTTCCATGAATTTTTTGAAGCCCCCTTGTATTTAACAGCAAAAGGGCTTTCTTAAGGGATATTCTTACAATTAATGAACCCCAGCAAAAATCACTACAGTCTACAAGAGCACATGGGGTTCCTCCAACTATCCTAGATCATTCTCAGATAGCTTCTTCAATTTTCCTGTACTGCTCTTTTTTCTGCTTTCAAACAGAATGTGTTCAGGGAAAACCAACCACCGTCCATCTCCGTCTATATGAATGCCAACAATTAACATACAAAGGTATTTGTAAATTTTAATATATCTTAAAACGTGAGCTAAAACAAGGTACAAATAACTTATTTCTACTTATTGTTCCTCCTTTCTAAAAAACTTAAAAAAATACTATGTAGTCTTCAACAGTTCTGGTATAACATAGAAAAGTATATGTGTTCCCATTTAACAAATTATAGATTTAACTTGAGGCAAAAAAGGTTAAGTGACTTACCCAAGGTTACAAATAGAGGTACAGCTGGGGCTAGAAACCAGGTCTCCTGAGTCTCAGCCCAGTGCTCGTTTCCTTAGCCCATGATGCCTTATTAGAAAAATCCAAATACAGTCAGACCCCCAGGTACATGGGTACGAGTTACACTGATTCACATATACAAACTTTATATAGTGTGACCAATGTTTCAACTCACGCGGTACCCTGCTTCCATTTATGCAGTATGCCAGGCATCGGCACGATTTTCAGTGGCACACAGGCGGTTGCCACCACCAGGGCCCTAGGCAAAATTGCAAAGAAGGCAAAGTTTGTCTTTGGCCCTCCCACCACCCTTATGCATTCCTCTCCCACCTCCTGCTCATCCCCCTGCCCAGCCTCCCAGTGCCACATGCTGCCCTCTGGTCATCCACACCCCCCAATGCCCCCTCACCCGCTCACCCAGGTCTGTCCTTGTTTGATGTGCCCAGTGACCCAAAATTCCCTTTCCAGTTCCTTGCCACCAAAATCCCTATTCCTGAGAATTTCAAGGACATTTCAGGTCATCTAGGTGACCGACTTAAACTTCAAGATAGAGGTCTAGACTTGAATGTCCACGGACTTTAATAAGGACTAACTAAAAGCTATTGGAAGGGGTTGAGGGAGTAGAAGGAGAAAGAGAAGCAAAGCTATGCCAGAGGCTACGCTATCCAGGCCTGAGCCGTCCTGTGCCACTTCAGAGACCCTCAGACAAGAACACTAAGGGCTGAGCGTGTTAGGGCTCCCTGGAGCCCCACGATCCAAGGAGAGAGTGCTTGCTTTCAATTAAGTCTCTGGGATTTAAAAACACGAAAACAAAAACAACTAAAAAAGCCAGGTGCCTTAGACATCTACTTTTCCTTTCTTCCTCCCACCTCTTGGATCCCCATTTCCACCACTTAGTGCCGAAGACACACAACAGCATTCCCTGTAAACTGTTCTTGTGTCCACCACAAAGTTTCCCATGATGTGGTTTGAAATTACAGTGTTATTCAGGAATGCACCTGTATTCCCCTATCCCTGGATAACTTGAAGTTGACAGTATGCTAAGAAAAAAGAACGACCCCAATTATATAAAGGTATTGAATCATAAAATGAAATGCATAAACTTGTTAAAAAAGGAAAAGAATGTTCTGATTCTATATTGTACAAATAAAAAGAGCTCATTTGGATAGTTAAAAACATTCTTTTCCTTGAAAGTGATGTTTCTGACTTCTAGCCCAACACAACAAAAAAATCCAGCCATTTCAGCTAAATATCATGGCTTTGTAAACATGAGTTCATAGACAAATCCTCTAAGTCTCAATGCAAAAAAAAAAAAAAAAAAATCCAGTTAACAGAAACATTAAAAGTTCGTTTGTATGCAAAACAGAGTGGATGTAAAGAAATCCATGTTTCTGCTGACTACATGCACAGGAATGTATGTGTGTACACATAAATACTTAATCTATCTTTGCAATACTAAATGGGCTACCTGTTTCAGAAATTTATCAAGTGATGATAGTTCCATTGATCAAAATACCCACCCAGTAATATTAGGATATTCAATCCACACAGAAGGTACCAAAATGGTATCCGTCGGGGATTAAAGGATCATTTTAAACCAGTCTTAATTAACTTTATTAAGGAAAACTCTGTTGACTAAAACCCTGGATCGTCCCCCTTCAGGATACCCTCTTCGTATTGGAAAAGTAGCAATGTTAATACATGCTGCAGTAATCATTCTTATCTAAACATGAAAAACGAGAGTTAATTTTCATTCATGTTAACTTCCCAAGGTTTACTAAACAATAACATCATTTCCTTCCCAATCTTTCCCTCTTTTCTACACACCGACCATTGGTTTACCATCTACACCTGCTGGGCTACACATCTTTTTCCAGAAAGAAAAGTTCCAATGAGAGTTTCTAAACTCTGAGAAGTCAATCTTTATGTGTTGCTAAAAAGATGTGAATTCATTAAAAGGCTTCCCCCTCCCATCTATCATGTATTTTACTTTAAATAGAGCACTCAAATTTAAGAGCGACTATTAAAATCTAAACTTAGAGAGATGTGCCTTGTCAATAAAAATTTGAGAAATAAAGCATTTCTTCAATGGCTTGGAAAACGATCTGCCTAAACAATCAAGGCTAAAAATAAGCAAGGGTTTTTGTTTTGATATGAACTAGCCGTCTCCCCACAGCACCATGGGTTGTAGTAGACTTCCAGAGTCCATCACTAGCATAAAAAAACCTAACCACAGCCCTTCATCTTTTTGTTAAAAAACTCTCTTGATGACAAAGGAGACTCCAGCAATCAGTGGTTTGCTCTACAGATTTTAAGTTGAGTGCCTCAAAGGATCTTGGCTTCCCCAATTCTCCTCCACTGGGCACCGATTTTCAAAAATGATTCTATGGATTCGGGCCACAAATAAAATCTATCCGTGTTTATACTGAACGAAGCCTCTATTCAAATGTTTAACAAAATGGAGGTCTCTTCGGAAAAAAACAGACAACGTTGGTTTTCTTTGCTTTTTTCCTTTTCACAAAACAGGGGCCAAACGCACCCACTAGGCGAAATCATGGCTTGGGTCAGATTCTTCCGCAAGAACGGTAGTTTCCGGGGCTCAGGAGTGCATCCCCGGACGGGCGGGGTGACAGGACAGGATTCCTGGGGACCCCGGAAGAGGGGGGGGCGGACTTCTTGTTCGAAGCCCTAGAGAATGGCGGGGGGAGCGGTCCCCCGAGCTCGGGGCTCAGGAAGGAGCCCGCGGGCGGCGGCGGCCCGCGGGCCCCAGCACAGCGCCGAACGGCTGCCGAGCACGCAGAAGACGTTGGCTCGCAGGTCCTGGCCAAGTCAATACTAAAGGCGCCGTCCGCTCCTTCCAGGCCCCGCCTCGCCCCATTGGCAGTCGTTCCCGCCAATCCGCACAGTCACCGCCCCCAACCCGCCTGCGGAGCCCTGATTGGACGGGACGGGAGCCGGGCCCTCGTGGTACCAATCTGGAGCCCCTTCCTCACACACACGCTCACGCCCAGGTGCGCCCCGGCCCTGGCCCCAGTGCCCCTCCCCCAGCCCGGGCCCCGGCACCCGCTTACCGTCCCGGGACGTGCCCATCAGCTGGTCCAGCATCGCGCGCATCTGGGCCTGCGCCGACATGGCGGCGGCGGAGCGGCGGCCGGGCGGGGGTGGGCGCAGACCGGGGCCGTAGGGTGGGGGGGAACAGGGACAGGGGCGGGGGAGGCGAGACGCTGTCTCGGTGGCGACCACCGCTTCACGGCGTGCGCACGGGGAGCCGAAGAGCGGGAAGTCCGGGCTGCGCGCCTCGCAAAGACGGGTGCATAAAACGCAGAGGCCCAGAAGGCGGTCCTGGTCCCCTCGCTCGGTCCGGGTCCTGGGACGGAAGCGAGACAGGATCAGCGAGATCTCGCCTCCAGCACCGCCACCCGCCACAAGCCGTCAGCCCCCCCTCCGACCGCTGACGCCGCTCGCCGCCGCCGTCGCCGCGACGTGAGCGCGCACGCACCTCACGCGTGCTCGCTTCTCGCAGGGGCTCCACCAACGGGCGTTCAACTGCAGTGGCTCCGCCCACCCCGCCCGCAGGCGTCCCGCCCTAACGGCTCTCAGGCGCGTGCACGCCGGCCGCGCCCGCGTTGTGCCCAGCTCTCGCGAGAGTCCACTTCCTCAGTCGACTCCTAGCCGCATCTGCCTGAGGCACTCAACTCCGCTGAGTCCTAGCGGCTATTGGGCTGCGACTGCGGGCCGCTGTGCTAGCTCTCCAGACCCCAATTAGCCCAAGGTGCCTGAGGTCTAGCCTACGAGGGAAGTAAGTAGAGACCATGCACGCCGGTTCGAGTAGGGTCCACCTTCGTAGCTAAAGTGGGCGTAAATTTGACGAATGCTCCCCGTAAACGGGGTGTCACAGGCTCCCCCCAAAACATGTAGGCGCCCCCCTTTCCTCACTGCTGCTTTTCCTCCATGCGCAGCCCTGGGACCTTAATATCTCTCTTCGAACGAAGGGGCACCATAATTATGTTGTGAGGACCAGTGAGCCTCGAAGCCTTGCCTTGGTGGTGATGAGCTTTTGGGGGTTTTGTTGTAAAATAGGAATTTCTAAAGATGAGACAGGTGCTTCGTCGAAACTTTTAAAATGTGACAACGGTGATTTTTTTTGTTGTTGTTGTTAAAATTTTAAGTGCATTGCCTTCAAATTCATTAGCAGATCAGTGAACAATTTACATGAAATAGCAACTATAGTCCTAAGATCCCTTTAAATGCATTTTAGGCCCAAAAAATGCATATTGGGCCAATAAAGGATTCTTTTATTATAAAACTGTCTGTTGGTTTTCTTTTTTAAACACAAGCAGAAGATACCTTAAATTATTTTGAAACTCTATTAGTTAATACTGTGGATTCCTGGTCTGATACTGTAGAGTAAGCACTGGACTGACAACCACAAAGTCGGCGGTTCAAATCCATCAGCGGCTCCTCGGAAACCCTATACAGGGTCGCCATGGGTCAGAACCAGAGTCCACAGACAGCTCTCCCTTGTTTGCAGTGTGCCTGGTGTCTCCTGTCTACAATAGTATAGAATCAGATGTTGACAAATAGATTTAACTGCCTAGAAACCCTAGATAGAAAGTCACGTACATTCAGCATCTGTAGAGAAACCCACTATCATCCAGTTGATTCCAACTCATAGTCACCTGGGAGGCAGTCTTAGGAAACAAAGCCTCATCTTTAGCTTGCGAAGTGTCGATCTTGCAGTTAGTTAGCCATCCAGTGTTTAACCCACTGTACCTTCAGTTAGTAAAGATACATTATTCAAACAAGGAAGCGGCAAGCCATCGCATAACATGGATGAACCTTGAGGACATTATGCTGAGTGAAATTGTTGTTGTTGTTGTTAAGTGCCATCGAGTCGGGTCCGACCCATAGCGACC